CGAAGCTCGTCATGATTTGAGAGCCATCCTGGATAAAGAAAACTTTCTGCCTCAAATTACGCCTTACTTAAGGACCTTTATTTCTAATCTATCTGCGGTTCGTGAAAGAGTTGAAGTTCAGCAAGATCAATCCAAGAGGGTCGCTGACCAAACACGTCGGCCAAGTCAAACTTACAAGGTAGGGGATAAGGTTCTAGTCCGAACTCATGCACTGAGTCAAGGAAGCAAGGGCCTGACGGCCAAATTCTTTCCCAAGCGTGATGGACCATATGTGATTACCGAGAAGGTTAGCCCTACCACCTACATTATCTCTTCAATTGAGAATCCAACTGAATCCCTCGGGAAATATCATACTCAGGATTTGACGCCATTCGTGGACAGTGGTCTAGATAGTAACGTACCACCCAATCCTATTCTTCCCAAACGACGTCGCGGACGTCCGAAATGCCAGGGCCCTGACCTAGTCCCGGAGCGAGGACGCTCTCCAGAACTAGAGGGGGAGTCTGTCGCAAGCCGAATTGGCCCACGGGCTTCCGGACGCCGCCACGCCTGCATTCCCGCTCGTTTCCGAGACTACGCACTGGAGGCGTAAGAGCGGGACAGAAGTACATAGAAACACGCGCCATGACATCGGCGGCGCGGTGCCGAACGACGGAACGACCGTTACTTGAGTGAGTCGACGCAGGAGCGCGCGAGAGGCAGCGAGTGTTCGTGTCGATCGATCCGCCGCGCGTGCTCTCATAACGGTCCTACACGAAAGCATCGAGTTATTGTGTGCCCAAAAATTTCAGCGCAGTCTAAGACAGCCCTGGGTGTACTGTGAGGCCGTGGTATCACTCCACGAGAGCCGACACATTCGTGCTGAAGCATAGCCTTCCCGTGAAAATTCAGAAACTGAAAATATGCACTCCCTTATAGTCATTTTTCTCAACCACCCCTAAACCATCTTCTAAATAAGAGTTAGCGTGCCGTAGCACCTAAACTAAATCCTTACTTGTACTGTTAAGTGTCACTCATACATAAGGTGGAGAAAACCAAAATGTTGTTAAGTATCACCTATCTTAGCTTAGGGGTTGCTTAAAATTTAGGGAAGGTTTGTGAAAATAAGCTCTAACTAGCTACTAAACCCCGCGGAAAGAGCAGCGGTGTTAAGAAATTTATTCTACTCGACCGTCACCACATAAACATACAATATGCGAGTGAAATCGCACGGCAGTACTAGTTCATTAATTAACAGTTCAACGCACTTCAGATTGCGAACTAAAACGAACGGGCCAAGGTAACCGATTATATTGTTGTTACACATAATTATCATAATATTACGCCTTCATTTATCTTCGATGTGGTAAACAGAGGTCCACGTCTACTATGTAACATCCACTATTCACTATTTATATTATGGGTCACATGTAATAGGGGGTCTATTGCCCTTATATACTGGACATTAGTACTATTTACTGAACTCATAGTAATTTCTCAGAATACCGAAAATACTTTGTAATTTTTCTATTTTCTTCAGTCCGGTAATCGAACCAACCGCTTGCTCAGCGCTAGTACACTGTACACACTCCCGCGGTAAATCATTATTCGTAGATAGTAAGATTAATTAATTCTATGCATTCAGTCTAAAAATGATAGGGAATGCATGATTTGTTTATGGTTCCAAATTCAAATTTATTTTTTTGTATTTTTTAGATGGGCACAACTGTTTACCATTTTGGCGCAGAGTTTGAGTTGCATCTGTTATATAAATTAAATACAGTGCTAGTTTTATTAATATCATAATTATATAGCGTGTATTGCGAATTTCATAATGAACAAAAATATCGAACAAAGAGTTTGTCTTAAATTTTGCATCGCCAATGGAATTTCGTGTTCGGAGTCACTGAAAATGTTACAGAAGGCTTACGGTGAATTGACTTTATCAAAAACTCATACTTATGAGTGGTTCAAAGCGTTCAAAAGCGGTCGAGATGTGATGGAAGATTTGCCTCGCTCTGGTAGGCCATCAACGTCTGCAACTGAAGTTAACATCGCAAAAGTGAAGGAAATAGTGACTGAAAATCCCCATTCAACTCTAAAAGAGATAGCCGCCGAACTTTCTGTATCTTACGAGTCAACTGTAAATGACAGAAATATACCAAAAGAAGGCCCGAGTGAATAGGTTGCTTATCGGACTACGTGCTCTATCGTAGAACGCATCATCGCTTACTACCAGGCGAGATAGTGGTCAAATGTCGGCCCATCATATATAAAAAAAGAGCTACAATACGGAATCGTACACAAAACTGCCATGCGAATGTGCGAGCTCCCTCTACGCATCGCAAGAACTTGCGAACTGATTCGCATCGCGCATCCAAATCTTATCTTCCCAAAATCTTGTTTCTTTTTCCTGTATCTCCTAAGCAATTACAAGAGTTCACACTTCTCGTTACGATCCATGTCACGACCTAGTTTTCAATTTAAAATACGTTTAGTACGGTTGACGGTCGTCGAAGGAATGGTCACCCTGGGAGACGCCAAGTCGCACGAAATCGCATCGCAGCAATTTGCATCGCAGTTTTGTGTAAGAGCCTTTATTGTGTGCCCCAGCGTAGTCTGAAGCGCAGGCCACACCGCCAGCTAGCGAGCGGATGGGCTAGGTGGCCGTGGGCGAAGCGAACGAAGGAAACTATCGTCGGTGCGCTAGCCAAAACTGTTATGTGCATTTAGTAAAGTTTTCGGGAGGAGACAATAAACTATTTTTTACACTTGCACTGAAAGGTTGATGGACTTAGCAATAAATTAAAAATGCAGTATGATGGCAAAAATTATGATAAAAATAACTGAGACAAAAGTGAAAATGATAACATGTACTGTTCATCCCCAATAATTTTATTTTCCATTTTGGTGCACATATCAGATTTATCTAAGAAAACGGTAAAATCAAAGAGTATAATAAGTATAGGGGTAAAATTTTTAAACAAAGACTGTTGATATTCAATCTGTCAAACTATCTATGTGATGCTGCAACTTCTGACATGTACGTTTTATGTCACATATCCCGTAACCAATCGAACACATAACCAATTTGTCATGTCCAGAAAGTCCACATATAAGATTGGTCTAATCGATTTCTAGAGGGAAATAACACATATTTGTTTTTGTAATCGATGCGCTATCCGATTTGGAGGACATCTAGCTAAGAAAAAAAAACTAAATATTTGCACATATCAGTTTTGGCAGGCGCACCGACGCTATACAAACTACGCGAAATATTGGCGAGCTATGGGATTTACACCTATATATTTCTCCAGATTATTGCCTGAATTGAACCTCTCTACGCAACCAAAATCTACGCTTACTCTTCTTCTTAATTCGAAGAGAATTTAACAGTAATGTCTTTTTTTAAACATTTGTAGTTATATAATCATCAGAACTTTCGTCGATATATTCATCGTTCTCCAACTAAACACTACACTGCTATTCGAAAGACGAGTGTCGAGTAGTCTACTCGAAACGGGGCGGGGAGGACGAACGAACCGAGCGCGCCAACGAGGTAAACGAGTAGCTTCGCTAGAATCGTCGGATATTTCGGTAGCTTAGCTCGTTATTAGTCGGTATCTCGCGGTGTGAAGCGAAGTATGTAAAAAGGTGAAACGATGTTCGCCCACCTAGCCCGCCCGCTAGCTGGCGGTGTGGCCTGCGACGGCCCTAGAGTTTAGCTTGTCGCGGAGAACCTAACGGGTAACCGGGGCTCCGGCTCGACGTGCAGGAGAAGGAACGGGGTGGTTTTTAGTCAGTAAGAGTCTGACACTCCCTCCCGCCTCACCCAGGCGGGAGCAGTCATTCGATAATTTTCACCCCTTAAAAAAAAAAGACTACCTACCTTACATCATATTAATGTGATTACAAACCAAACTTTAGTTTCAGAGGGAAATACCTAATAAATAAAACAACAACATTGGTATTAATTAGTTATTATAATTAATAATATTTAATAGTTAATACTATAATAACTTAGTTCTAAGCGTGAAGAGACCGCCCGCAGTTCTGTTTGGTAAAATTAAGAATAATACATTCAAGTTCAATAAGAGATACAATTACATATTATGTAAAAAGGTGAACAGACGAACTGATAAAGTTCTGCGCTTTATGCAAGTCGGTGCCAACCTCGCGTGGTATAGTCATTGGGGGGACTGGGAAAGGTAGGGGACTGTACATGGCTGTACGCATGATAATAATTCACCCTGTATGGAGCACCATCAGTAAATCAGTATGCATGCTGCAACTCCTGTAAGCCAGGATCTACTGTAGATACAACCATGAAAACACCGGAACAATGAAGTCCAACGTCCCAGGGACATGTAATATACATAACTGTCTTGGTTCCCGCAACGAAGTGAATCAGAAGATGTTATAAGAGGAGAAGAAAAAAACGATAGTTTTCACTTCCCTCGGTGAATTACTCCAGGAGACAGAATGAATTAAGCCTAAAGGCACTAAAATAGACTGTACAACTGGGTGAAGCCCAGTCGCCAAGCACTACGGAAATTGACTGTGTGAGCTGTAAAAAAATGCAACTGTATATTGTTTTTAACCGATTGATTTTAAGATCGGTAAACGAGCAGACGGATCACCTGATGGTAAACAATCGGCGTCGCCCATGGACACTCGCGACAGCAGCGGAGTTTTAAATGCGTTGTCGGCCTTTTGGGATTAGGCGCTTAAGGATAGAGGTTAGGGCCAACCTCAAATTAACTCGTCGAGTACCGTATTTATAGACACAATTAACTCGTCGAGTACCGGTTTTATAGACACAATTAAAGAACAATAGGTCGCGGTCACCGGTGACCGCTTGGTGTTTGACAGTTTAAAGAATAGGTCGCGGTCACCGGTGACCGCTTGGTGTTTGACAGTTTAAGGAGGTTTTTAATTCATATCTTTATGCTTTCTGTCTGAACGGGGGGCGGTCAAGAAATAGTGGTAAAGCGTGAGTGGTGTTTGTAGTGATGACGTCATCAGCCCATGCGTGGACGTCCCATGCCGCGGCCCGGGGCTCCCGCCGTCGGCATATCTTGGCCTTTTACGTTCTTTATCGTCTCGTCGACTGAGAGGATCTGCGAAAGAGAGGTGGCAATTAAATAAATAACATAATAATGAGAACCTAGAGCAGAATACCAGCGCAAGACCCTGGCTTGCACATGCTGAACAGGTCCCATTTCGCGGTAGGCTTGGAACATGCACATGTATCCATCAGTACCTACCAATTAACTAAAATCTCGGGTTACTCACGTGAATATACGACACCGCGACCGCGCACGCTGCTCATGAGGAAAAATCCCTCTGTATTTCGAAACTAGTTGAGCTTTTCTCAGTATATTTACGTGAGTAACCCGCGATTTTAGTTAATTTAGTATGTCTCACTATAGGTATAATAAAAACATCTGTATTCTGTACATGTCACTTCTTTCTTAGCGTAAAATACAGATTCTTCTTTCTTTCTTTCTTGCTTTAAACCTTCTCTATTTTGGGGGAAAGTCGACTAAGACGAGATACCCAGATATACCTACACTCAAAAAGAGGAATGGAACAAACAAGCCTCATGTCTACTATCAAGATCCTCACAGTTCTATTCAGAAATTGGATCCGTGTGTTATAATCATTGGCTTGCAATAAACTTATTAGTTTAGAAATGTTGAAATTGAATAGTCCATTGTCCCAAAAGAGTTGTAGAACATACTTTTTTAAAAAGAGTAACGAATGGAGTTTCTTGCTCGTTCTTCTCCATTCGAATCTACATTTCGGAATGAGCACCTAGCTTCACCTAGCTTCACTGATAGACTGACCGTCATTTTGTATTTGTTGACGTTTCAAAAGTACCAAATTATGGTTTAATTGAAATAAATGCTTTGACTTTGACAGTCAGTACTTCACTGTAGTTAGATGCTCATTACAACCTATAGAGATATATAAGAGTAACCTATGGAGTTTCTTGCTCGTTCTTCTACATAGGAATCTATACTTTTGAATGAGCAAATAGCTTCACTTTATATTTATATCATTGCCGTTCAAAAGAGCCGTCTCATGTAATTGAAATAAATGATTTTGACTTTGACTTCACGCTATGATCGATAGGAACCGAGTAGCGGGTGAATCCGTGTGCGCGTAACTAGTCTCTACTATGAAGTATTACGTACCTGGGCCGCGGCCTCGCAGGCGGCAGTGATAGCGTTGATCTTGACAATGGCGGGCTCCCAGACACACGACGCGTAGTTGTCGCCGATATCCTCCTTCTGGATGTCGATACCGTACCAGATGTCGCCTGGAAAATAAAATACTAATGTTGTAATTGATTTTAAACGTTATTTACAACGAAATAAAGTAGAGAATTCAGTAAATACAGCTCTTAATTAAATTTTATCCTGTTATTTATGGATTTTGGTGTTCATTGCAAGAGAATGAAGTATAAAAAGCCTCATGTCTACTATCAAGATCCTCACAGTTCTGTTCAGAAATTGGATCCGTGTGTTATAATCATTGGCTTGCAGATTGACGAGAAAACAAAAAAAAAACAACGCCACATTTTTCGTCACCACCTTGTCTTTTTTTCGTGAGTGTCATACATACATAACTTCACGCCTGTCTCCCATGGGGGTCGGCAGATATTATGTAACGCAAACTACTACGATTCCTACACACCTCTTTGGCTTTATCAACAGTCATCAATTAATCTTTTCATGCATGCTCGTCGGTTACTTTTTTGGCCCTTCTTTAATACCGTAAAATGGGGTGGATAGGGATCGAGAGGTGAATAGAGACAGAAGAGGGGTGAATAGATATTGGGAAATTGTTCATAGTATCGATTCACCACTCTTCTGTCCCTATTCACCTCTCGATCCCTATCCACCCCATTTTACCGTTATGTCATCATCCCAATTGTGACGTCATTTGTTCGACTATTAAGTGACTGTACATTTGTCAGAGACTGGACAGCAGCGCTCTCTGATAAACCTGAACCTTTTATACTCTCCACTTCGATGGCCAAGTGTGGAGAAAAACTCAATCTTGTATAGTCTGATGCTGATTTTGATTAAGCTTTTGCTGTTAAGATTATGATCATAAACTGTACATACCATTGTGATGTTTATTCCTCAGCTTGTTCAGTAGATTGGTGGCATCGAATCCTGCGTTATCACATAGTTGCCTCGGAATCGCTTCGAATGCTCTCGCGACGGCCGCGACGAGTAACTGTTCCTTGCCCGCAACACCCTTGGCGTACTCGCGGAGATGCTTCGAGATCTCCATGTCGATGGCACCGCCACCTATTGGGGGTACAAGTAAAGGTAATTTAGTAAATAATGTCGTAATACTTTCTTCTATACGTTTTTGGGTTACGTTTTAAAAGAATTAGCAATTCTAAAATCTATGAAAACATTATAAAGCTACGCGGCCACCGGCGAACGAATCTAACGTGCCGGCGGTATCGCGCGCGCCGTCACAGATCGCACCGAACTGTTAAAAACGACAGTTTTCAGATGTAATATTAGCATCAGCCTCATGTCTACTATCAAGATCCTCACAGTTCTGTTCAGAAATTGGATCCGTGTGTTATAATCATTGGCTAATGTTGTCAAAAATAGTTAACAACGACATTTTTAATAATAACATTCATTTTTCATGTATCACAGGTGCGTTGCCGGCCTTTTAAAAAGGAATACGCTCTTTTCTTGAAGGTTAGAAGGTCGTATCGGTTCGGAAATACCGCCGACGACAATTCATTCCACAGTTTAGCTGTGCAAGGCAAAAAGCTACGTGAGTAGCGCACAGTTGTGGCCTGCCAACCATCTATATGCTGGGGATGTATATTCTGTCGTGAGGGTCGATAAACTCTTTCAGTGTTCCGGTGCTCAGGGGCGTTAATTGCTTACCATCAGATGGTCTGCTTACTCGTTTGCTACCTTGAACCATAAAATAATTAACTGACCGGCAACCACAGCATCGTTCTTGATGGTACGTCTGACGATCATGATGGCATCATGCAGGGACCGCTCCGTCTCCTCCAGGAACTGCTCAGCTCCACCACGGAGCACTAATGTGCAGGTCTTCGCTGCCGGACATCCTATAAAAGAGAAAGTATGATGGGTATGAGTTAAATCTACCTAGATCTTTCTTAGATACATACATTAATATCGTCCTATCTCCGTTTGGGGTAGGCAGAGACAACGTAATGATAATGGACACGGTTCTGGCATAACTACGTCTTTCGCTACCATCATCAATATCCTATAAATGCCCACTGCTGAGCAAAGTCTCCTCTCACATCGAGAAGGTTAGAGCATTAATCACCACGCTTGCTTAATGCGGGTTGGCGATTTCAATCTTATAATTGGAAATTATAAGTCCAGGTTTCCTAACGATGTTTTCCTTCGTCGTTTATCAGTGGTGTATAAATAATCTAAGAAAGTACATATAAAAGTCGGAAAAAGTCACATTGATACTTGCTGTTGGTAGGTTTCGAGCCCGCACCCTCCTGCGTGAGAAGCAGGCGTCTTAAACCACCGGGCCACCACGACAATCAACTATCTAGTCTTAAGTATAAATAGTCTTTAGCTACATCTACATCTAATTTAAGTTTAAAAACATTTCATTACATTTATTCAACAAGTTCTAACGCGCGAATACTAGGCAATTGTAAGTTGTACTTAAATATCGTACCGTGTCTGTCATTCTACAAAAAAATTGTAGTGACAGAACTATAGTTAAGCGCTACGCTAACGCTAACGCTCGGGTCTGGTTCAGCAGCTGTAGCCAAACGCCACTTTAGCGCTTGTCTACAGAGAAAGTAGAATTCAAAATGTATGGGGATGACACTGACAAGTGACAACGCTTGTCTACAGAGAGAGTAGAAATCAAAATGTCCCATACATTTTGATGACACTGACAAGTGTCAAAATTTACGTCAATTCCATATAATTTGGTTTTCTATTCTACATGTAGACAAGCGCTAAATGGCATTTGGCTACAGATGCTGGTCGGGCGGCGAGCTACCCATGCTCGCCGTCTGCAGACCCGCACTTAAGGTGGCTATCAATTCTGTATAATAATCAATTCTATTTTATTTAAATACATAAGTAATCTACATGAAAACGAGGATACAGCTTACCAGTAGGCGCGACTTCTTTATCATAGCCTGTGAGAGAGGAGTTAAGGCATCAGGGATAGGAAAATAGAAGGGAATATTTTGGAATTAAATGTAAAATAATGAATGGAGAGAAGGAACCAAAGAATAAGAACAAACGAAACAACGAATACACACGAAATACTACAATTAAATATATTGTGAAGTCGATATAATATATTATTGACTATCTTTCTATTGACTTTCTTTCTTGCTCTTCTCCATTCGCATCTACATTTTGGAATGAGCACCTAGTTTCACCTAGCTTCACTGACGGACTGACTGACATACTATTATTTATTTAGTATTTGTTGACGTTTCAGAAGTAACAAATTGTGGTTTAATTGACATAAATGCTTTGAGTTTGACCTTCCAAATTTCAACTGCCTAGCTATTACGATTCATGATATACATACAGCCGGATGACAGACAGACCTATAGATAGTGGAGTCTTAGTATCCTATATTTTACATTATGGATGCAGAGCACTAAAAAAATAGTAAGTACTGACCAGTAAAGATATTGTACCGCTCGCCCCCGACTTGTTTCTCCGTGAAGTGCGCGCAGTGTCCGAGGGCCTCGGGCGCGAGGTCGCGGACGGACGACAGCACAGCGCCGCCGCACGCGCGCTGGGTGCGCTTCAGGTCCTCGTCGGGGACACGGCCCGCGCAGAACATGTCGCTGTACAGAGGGAATATCTAAATATAGGTATTTACAAAGACTGTGGAATTAAAGTCGAATTTAAAGCACATTTTTTTTGTTTTAAATGAAACATTGCCCCACACTAGGATTATCTCCTGTGTCGTGGGTGCGTTTACAAACATACAAGTTCACATACACATGACACCAAGACCCGAAACAACAATTTGTGGATCACACAAAGTGTTGTTCCGTGCGGGAATCGAACCCGCGACACGTTGCACGGCAGCCGGTTGCCCAGCCACCGCACCAACCGTGCATTCAAACCGTGCAATTGATTCAATAAAACGTATTGAATCAATGTGCTTTAAATGTATTGGGGTTTTTATCCATTAAGGATATGCCAACCAAATCGTACGTAAACTGATGATGAAAATTACAATTTCACAAATCTATGTAGGTACTTTAATTACACACATTAAACAGGTTCTTATGAAAAATAAAAAGAAATAGTCTGTCATTCTGTCCGTCAATGAAGCTAGATACTCGTCCTGGACTGTATCAACTATGGACAGTTGCTTCATAATTGGGTACTTGCTTTTATCAAAAATATATTATTTCGACATTTCAATACAATGAAGTATTAAAAAATAATTTAAGTATTTTTACAGCATTTTTTTAAGAAACGCTAAAAACGTGACGTCACAATACACAATCTCGTACAAAATTCATAGAAAACTGTCGTTTTTGATCGAAAAAAGTATTGAATTTGACTAGTTGGCAAGTACACGATTATGAGCCCCAGTTGTGGTTTAAAACTAATCGAACACTGTCTCCGAAAGTCATGTGAATAAATTGCATTTTCTAAATATCGTGTGGTGTGGGAGAGCCATGCTTCAGCACTGCTGGGCCGGCTCCACCGTAGTCATACCACCAACGACCAGATAACCATAGTGAAGTAACACTGGCGTTGTGTTTCGTCGTGTGAGTGACGTAACCGGAGGCCCAATTACCCTCCCCGCCCCTTCCCCAATCTCTCCAATCCGTGAATCCCCAACAATCCTCAAAACTCTAATCCCCAAAAGGTCGGTAACGCACTTGTAACGCCTCTGGTGTTCCAGGTGTCCATGGGCTACGTCGATTGCTTAACATCAGGTGATCCGTCTGCTCTGTTAGCGGCTTATCCCATAAAAAACCTATACCCTTCCTCCATAAATGCATTATCCAAAACACAAAGAATTATTCAAATCAGACTTGTAGTTACGGAGATTAGCGCGTTCAAACAAACAAATAAAAAGACAAACTCTTCCGGTTTATACAAGGTGTTGTTTTAAAGCCGCGTCATTTTCTAGGAGGTTTATGACTTCTGTGACATGCCCCCGAGAAATGTCACGATTTCAAAACTACACCTCTTGTATAATAGCATAAGATATAAGATTAAAGCAGTAATGTATTGCAACTCACCGGTCAGCGAAGTACTGTGTGGCGACGTCTCCGATGGGCAGTTTGCTGAGCACTACGTTGGCCCCGCTGGCATGCAGCGCTGCCAACTTCTCGTACAGGATCTGCCACTCTGCGTCCACCACCTTCTGGTATTCTTTCACGTTGTCCACTCGGACCTGTAGGAGAATTAAAAAGGTAAGTATGGCTTTTTTTTAAGGGGGGAAAATCATCGAATGACTTCCCCTGAGTGGATGAGGCGGAAGGGAGTGTCAGACTCTTACTGACTAAAAACCACCCCGTTCCTTCTCCTGCACGTCGAGCCGGAGCCCCGGTTACCCGTTAGGTTCTCCGCGACAGGTAAGTATGGCTAGAACTGAGTCATCTCATATATTTAATGCGTAGACCTAGCACTCACTATGATAAGTGCTCAAGCATATAAGGATGATAACTTGTTAAAGAAATATGCATAACATCACGTCTTTTATCCCCGAAGGGGTGGGCCGAGGTGCACATTACGGCACATAATGCCGCTGAACAATGTAACTCCAACTTTTCACTATTTATGTTATGAGTCCCATGTAATAGGGGGTGAGCCTATTGTGAGGGTGGGCACATTTCCAGACTCCTTGCTGCTACTGAGGTTTTTACAAATCCAGTAATACTTTGCCCGACCCGGGATTCGAACCCGAGACCCCTTGTCCGGCAGTGGCACTTGCGACCACTCGGTCAATGAGGCAGTCAAGTCAGTAGCTGTGACAAGGACGGGGGAAATTTGAAATTGGTGTTTTTTTTATGGCATAAGCCGGTAAACGAGCCGACGGATCACCTGATGGCAAGCAATCGGCGTCGCGCATGGACACCTGGAACACCAGAGGCATTACAAGTGCATTACCGGCCTTTTGGGGATTAGGAGTTTGAGGATCGTTGGGGATTCAGGAATTGGGAAGATTGGGGAAGGGCCCTCCCCTTCCCCTAATTGGGCCTCCGGTAACCTCACTCACACAACGCAAGCGTTGCTTCACGTCAGTTTTCTACTCGGCCGTGGTATCACTCCGGTCGAGCCGGCCCACTCGTGCCGAAGCATGGCTCTCCCACACTTAGAATGAGTGTGACGTAATTTATGAATGACCTCTAAAAGAGCAAGAAATCAATACTTACTTCAGCATTGTCCCTCTCAGCCTGCAACTCAAGGGTAATGTTCAGCAGCGCAATCTTGCAGTTGTTGTACGTTTTTGGCTGCATCTCAAAGCCAGCGTACGAGAACGTCTTCTTGAAGGCTACTCCGGACACCAGGAAGGAGTCCTCTAAAGCACCACCTGACACTTTCTTGATACCTGTGAACATAGACATATGAAAATGATTTAAAGAGATTAACAGTCTTGCTAATGCAATATCTCTCTTCCTCTGGTATGTCGGAGCGTAAGGCCCGGTGCCCACTATCGGTGCGGCTCGGTAGAGCTCGAGCGCTTTACGCCGGCTCCGCCGCTTTGGGCGCCTTAAAGCTGCGTCGGGCGACTTCGGGCGGCTTTGGGCGCCTTAGAGCTGAGTCGGGCGACTTCGGGCGGTTTTGGGCGCCTTAGAGCTGAGTCGGGCGACTTCGGGCGGCTTTGGGCGCCTTAGAGCTCCGTCTGTGCTGTACTGAGCCGCACCGATGCCCACAGTAGTGGGCGCCAGGCCTAAATCTACGCGAGACACTAAGCGTTTTCTATTGTGTCTTAAATACCGATATACAAGAGGTTCATGAATGTCGATGTAGCGAAAGAGGTATGTCAAATTTTGGTAATCTTTTTTTATGGGATAAACCGGTAAACGAGCTGACGGATCACCTGATAAAAGTCAAACTGAAAACCTCCTGCTTTATTTTTTAAGTCGGTTAAAAACGGTTAATATAATATCGAAATCGTATTTTTTGGATCAGAAATCGGTGACATTTATTTTATTCCTTCTTACCGATCATATCCAGCGGTAAGAGAGGAGCGTCCAGGGACAGTACGGCGTCCACCACCATCTTGGAGAAGTGTCCCTTCTGCTGGTGGATCAGCTTCGACGACATCGCTGTGGCGGCGCATTTCGTTAACAGTTCCCTGGAAATATTAATAAATAATCTTATACTACTATATAAAGACATATTTAAGCTACTATACATTACACTATTAATTTTAATTATTATTTATTACTGGCAAAGTATTACTGGGTTTTTAAAAATCTCAGTAGTAGCACGGAGTTTGAAAATGTGCCCGGTATATGGTAATAGGCTCACCCCCTATTACATGGGACTCATAACATAAATAGTGAAAAGTGGGTGTTACATTGTACAGTGGCATTTAGTGCCGTAATGTGCACCTCTGCCTACCCCTTCGGGGATAAAAGGCGTGATGTTATGTATGTATGTATTAATGTTAATTCAAATTGTTTACATAACATAACATCACGCCTTATATTCCCGAAGGGGTACGAGCAGACGGATCACGTGGGTGCTTACTCTTGAAGCCAATCTCAATGTCAATGCAATTTCAATCCAATAAAATCTCAATAATTATTCAATGTCAACACTATACAACCACAATCGTAGCTGTTAAAATAGCATTCAGAGTACGGAATATAAAGACAAACTCAATACCATTTAGTTCCTTCAATATCCACGCAATACGGATGCAATGGGCGCTAGTGTTGCAACTCGAGAGTACGAAATTTCACAATACCAATGTCGATCGATCGGAATTGGATTCAAGAGTAAGCCCCCTGATGGCAAGCAATGAGTGCCGCCTATAGATGGACACTCGCACCACTGGAAGAGTTACAAGTGCGTGCGCCAGCTTTTTAGGGATTGGGGATTGGGGTTGGGGGATGGGGGATGGGGGATGGGGGATGAGGCACGGGGAGGACAGGGTATTTAACGATTGTTTTATTTATAATTATTAAAGATTTTATGCAAGCCTCATGTCTACTATCAAGATCCTCACAGTTCTATTCAGAAATTGGATCCGTGTGTTATAATCATAAGCTTGCAAATTTCATAAACCCAAATACACATTACTGACCCTAGAGTCGAACCCAAGACCTCTTATTTGATTCTCGCTTTGAACAACTAACAAAATCAGATATATAGTTCCTTAGTCGGGTATACGACACCCACGGCAAGAGCAGCGATGGCAAAAATATATTCCACACTGCCATCACCACAACCTTACCAGGTATATTTATTTTTATTTATTTATTACTTCTTCACCAAAGATAACAGTGAATGGCGGACTTAATGCCTTGTCGGTATACCGACACTCAAGAGAAGAGCAAGGGTGGCAAATATAAAATGACTTAAAAAACTCTCACCTCTGTTCTTCAACAGACTTATTGTCGATCTTAACGGCTAACTCCTTGACTCTATCCACTGCTAGCTTGGCGGCCACACGGACTGAACGGACGATGATACGCGGATGGACACCTGTTAACAAAATAAAATAGAAATATTAATAATAAAATGTTGTTAAGTATGTATTAGAGTAAAAGTGTTAAGAAAACATCATTAAATTGAGTATATCCTCAAAAGAGAATCAGAAATTGGATCCGTTTGTTATAATCATTTGAAAACGTGAGTGAGGTTACCGGAGGCCCAATTACCCTCCCCTTCCCCAATCTCCCTAATCCCTGAATCCCCAACGATCCTCAAGCTCCTAATCCCCAGGAAGCCGGTAACGCACTTGTAACGCCTCTGGTGTTCCAGGTGTCCATGGGCGACGCCGATTGCTTACCATCATGTGATCCGTCTGCTCGTTTACCGGCTTATGCCATAAAAAAGCATAATATTACACTTTTTATCACCGAAGGGGTAACCATTAGGCACACAATGCCACTGTACAATGTAACACCCACTTTTCACTATTTATGTTATGAGTCCCATGTAATAGGGGGTGAGCCTGTTGCCATATACCGGCCACAATTTCAGACTCCATGCTACTACTGAGATTTTTTTAAGACCCAGTAACTTAGTACTTTGCCAGACCCGGGTAGCTAAAACCGAGACCCCTTGCCCGACAGTCGCACTTGCGACCACTCTGTCAACAAGTAATTAAGAGTGAGGTTACCAGAATCCCAATCTCCTCTCATCAACACCAAAAGGCCGGTAACGCATTAGTAACGCCTCTGGTGTTCCAGGTCTCCATGGGCGACGACGATTGCTTACCATCAGGTGATCCGTCTACATGTTTGCAGACCTATACCATAAAAAAGTCGCGGAGAACCTAACGGGTAACCGGGGCTCCGGCTCGACGTGCAGGAGAAGGAATGGGGTGGTTTTTAGTCAGTAAGAGTCTGATACTCCCTCCCGCCTCACCCAGGCGGGAGCAGTCATTCGATAATATTCCCCACTTAAAAAAAAAACATATAAAAGTTTCTGAATCATATCTTACGTACCTTCTTCGACGAAAGGCTTCAGTCTCTTCAAGAGCTCACCAGCTAGAATCACCACAGATGTTGTTCCGTCACCCACCTTGGAAAAAATGATACAATTTTATTATAAAACAGAGACAAGCAGACACAAAAAGGGCTGGGAAATATTAAATCTGTTTAAAAAACTGCTTAATTATTTATCTAACATACATAACATCACGCCTTTTATCCTCGAAGGGGTAGGCAGACGTGCACATTATGCCACTGTACAATGTAACACCCACTTTTTACTATTTATGTTATGAGTCCCATGTAATAGGGGGTGAGCCTATTGCCATATACCGGGCACAATTCCAGACTCCGTGCTACTACTGAGATTTTTTTTAAACCCAGTGGTACTTTGCCCGACCCGGGAATCGAACCCGAGACCCTTTGCCCAGTAGTCGCACTTGCGACCACTCGGCCAACGAGGCAGTCAAATTATTTATTTACAATTTTAAAACCAATAACTATTTTATTATTGTATTAAAATGTGACAGTGTGTTTGTTCATCTTTCACATTACAATGGAAGCGGTTTAAGGTCAGATTTTCGTATCTGAATAATGATATTTTTCTTTCGGGCGAAGTTGTGGGCGGAATCTAGTATTGACGCATATTTTATTTGACAAACTCTCTCTAATTAATCGTCCCGTGACATTCTATTGACATTCTTCTTATGTGAGCTACTACAGGCTCGCACAAAAAAGAGTAACGAATGGAGTTTCTTGCTCGTTCTTCTCCATTCGAATCTACATTTTGGAATGAGCACCTAGCTTCACCTAGCTTCACTGACGGACTGACTGACAAGACTATTATTTATTTTGTACTAGCGACCCGCCCCAGCAATATGCATGTATTATACATATAAACCTTCCTTGAGAATCACTCTATCTATTAAAAAATACTGCATCAAAATCCGTTGCGTAGTTTTAAAGATCTAAGCATACATAGGGACAGACAGACGGCGGATAGCGACTTTGTTTTATACTATGTAGTGATTTGTTGACGTTTCAAAAGTACCAAATTATAGTTTAATTGAAATAAATGCTTTGACTTTGCCACAAATATAAACAATAGCATCAGCCTCATGTCTACTATCAAGATCCTCACAGTTCTGTTCAGAAATTGGATCCGTGTGTTATAATCATTGGCTAATACTAAAAATCATACATAGGGAATGAGCATTTATATATAGCTTTACAAATGGTCAATTTTGCTCAAACTTTCTCTGTCTAATTTATTTATTTATTTATTTATTTAGAGGATCACCGACATAAATACAGCAATATTGCACAATGAAAATATTTTTGACTTATAAAATACCTTAAGACTATCTGTATTCACAATTATAGGTAACCACAGCATGCATGTAGCTTTTTAACTTATATTATGATAAAAGAGATAATAAAAATTCATAAAAATTTAGTACAAAATAAAATAAAAATTAAAAACATTTTGTCAAAAAAAAAAATTAAATTAAAACTCAGCAAAGGAAAATAAAAAGAAAACATAAAACCAGTAGGAAATGTCAACCCCAAGCTAAGGTACGTCACTCTGTCTGATCATTCTCAAGAACTTAGGGAGGCACTGAAGGTGAATGTCAATCCCTGGCAATGTACTTGTCAGGTCATTGTACTTAGTGTATTATATATAGTGTGATTGTGTAATAAGTGGTTTGGTCCGCAGTGGTCACTTATAGGATGTGATGTGAAATTTCAAATACAAAACTAGTACAAACTAACCATTGAACATGCAGAATGATCATAATGAAACAAAACCATGATAAATTAATTTTGTTTAGCTCCATGTGTCTCCTTAGGCCCTACACGCTAGGTTTTGCATGATGGTTTTAGCCGTGCATGCATAACAGATAGGCAAGCCCTAGTGTGTATGTACTAAACTTTTTTCTTTTTTTTTCCCTTTTATTTAGTTTTCAAGTAAAAAATATAATTAATTAATAGCACACTCCTACATACTACTGTTACTAGTATTGAGGAGCGTGGCCTCCTAGCACAGGTATTTGTTTATACTTAAAAGGTTTATACTTAGAAGTTTTTAAGTTATGAATAAAGATTATTAATATTATTAATAAACTGTACAGTTATCGGTGCATGTACATGCAAAACCTAATGTGTATGTATTGTATGAAACTCGGTTATGCTTGTCGGTTTTGCATGCAAAGTCATAACCATCATGCATAACCTATCGTGTACGGCCTCCTTTAAATCAATCTTAGCTATTTAACCCTTAACAACCCACAAGTGTCTCGCGGACACAATTTTGCGTTTATGTTTTCATAAAAACTAAAGTTTTTATTTTTATGAATTGGCCTTTTATCTAATTTATCGCCAATATTTTACGAATCTAAATGTGCAATGAAAATATTTGTAACGTGAATAATTTATTATTTTTGGTCAATAAACGAAAATAGTACTTCATCAACCCAGAAGTGTCCAACAGACACAATATCATTTTATTTGATTCAAGTGTGAAGGTAGATTGTTTTATTTACATTTACCTATAATCTTATGGTGTCGGGTAGGCAATAGCGGTTGCTAGACCTTTGTTTGTGTTATCATCATAGTTTTTGTAATCGTATCACGTACCAGTAATCAGAAACTCTTGTCATAATGTAGTCATGTTCTAATTCGTTTTTATTGAATGTTATGGCTAAACAGCAACTAACACAAAGTGAAATACAACGTGCCCTTGTTGAAAGTGACGATGAAAATATTTTTGTCTATGAGTGCGATAGTGATGATGAGAATTTTGCTGTTGACAGCTGTTCTGATAGTGAAAGTAATGTCACAGAACCAACATCTGAAAACGATGATGAACAATTATGGAGTAAGAGTGATGATGATTACAAGAATAAGTCTCAATTTACACTTATAAAGGAAGAGATAACAACGTGGAAATCAGAACCTAACAGGCAAAACCGAACGCCTCGACACAACATAATTCGCGGTGGTATCCATAAGGTGATTCTTCCTCCTCCGGGCCAAACTATAATAGATCCGATAGACAGTTTCAGCCTTTTTTTCGACGATCACGTATTACAAATAATAGTAAAATATACCAATACCGAAGGGCTTAGAGTTTTACAAAATCGATGGAAATCAATAGATATAAAATCGAAATGCAAGTACTCCGAGGTCTTTTATTGACTATAAGCGTCAATAAACAGGGAGGTGTAGATTTTAGAGAACACTGGTGCCCTATCTTTGGCAATCCAATATATCAAGCTACAATGGAAAAAAGAAGAAGCGTTGTAATATTTTCCCTTCGAAATTATCAAGTGCTTCTAAACAGTGTTGTGCTGAATGCAAACGCAATACATGCACTGAATATTCTGAAAAAAATAATAATTGTAATATCTATAAGTAAATAAGTGTAAATACACATTACTGAAATACATTATACTGTCTTTTTCATTCAAAATATCTTTCTTTTCTTTCATCATACCTTATAATTATAAAATGAGTCTGTTGGACACTACTGGTCAGTTACGTCACAAAAGCTTTCTGGATAGTTAAGGGTTAAACTAACCTCGGCATCCTGTGACTTAGCGATATCAACCAAAGTCTTGGCAGCTGGGTGGACAATGTCCAACAGCTTCATGATCGTGGCTCCATCGTTGGATATCACGGCTTTACCGTTGTGATCCACGATCAGCTTGTCCATGCCACGAGGACCGAGGGTTGTGCGGACCTGGAAGAAAAGGTTACATAGCAAGATCAATTTACAGTAAGTTATTCGAGTTTATGATGTACGTACTCTCTGGACTCTGTCTAAAAGTTCTAGTACTAAACTAGATATACCGGATTTTTTTTATATATATAAGGGGGGCAAATCATCGAATGACTGCTCCTCGGTGAGGTGAGGCGGGAGGGAGTGTGAGACTCTTACTGACTAAAAACCACCCTGTTCCTACTTCTGCACTTCGAGCCGAAGCCCCGGTAACCCGTTAGGTTCTCCGCGACTCCGAATCGGCATTAGCCCTATTGGACCCCATCCGTGATGGTCTGATGGGTCTATGAGGCGCGCGCGAAACACGACGCGCCGTACGCTGGGTCTGGTCGGGCGGCGAGCTACCCATGCTCCCCGTCCGCAAGCCCGTGCTTACGGTAGAAATACCGGTTTACATACATAGAAAAGTTTTACTAGTAGAGTCACAGAGGGACTATTCTTCATGAGCAGGCTGCGCTGTCGCGCTGACGTCACACATCCTACAGGTCTCTTTGTGGCTGGACTTTTCTCAGTATAATTTACATGAGTAAACCATTATTATAAGTTAATTCAATATATCTCACGATAGTTATTATAAAAATTGTGTAACTTCTCAAATTGTCTTCGTTATTGAAGGAGATATGAGTTGGAAGGAGGTGTGAAAATTGTATTATGACTTTTTCAAAGTGCCTGTACGTGGACTGATTGAAATAAACATCTTTATTTTGACTTACAAGCCTCATGTCTACTATCAAGATCCTCACAGTTCTATTCAGAAATTGGATCCGTGTGTTATAATCATTGGCTTGTAAAAACATACCACAAATTAAATACAGTCTGAATGTCTTTAAGGTAGTCCAAGAACAATACACATTAAAATTGTATTAGGGAAGTTACGCAGGTGGTACTTACAGCATCTACGACCAGCTGGCAGGCATTGATGTTGGAGATGAGCTGGGGTTTGCCCTGGGACTGGTCCGTCCCTTCTTTCAGTACGAGGATCTGTGGTTGCTGTAATGAAATCATTGCTGGTTAAGTCTTTCTAATGAGACACGTACTGTATCATTTATTGTCCTTAAGGTTATTTTGTTTTTCGATCACTTTGACTGGATTTTAGTGTTACATTGTTCTCGCACAATCCAAACAGCAAAACTATGTAACTAGAGTATTGTAAACCTGATTGAAAAAGAGTAACCTATGGAGTTTCTTGCTCGTTCTTCTCCATAGAAATCTACACTTTGAAATGAGCAAATAGCTTCACTTTTAATTATTTTTTTTTGTTGACGTTTATGCCCGTGCCTTTCTGATCTAATTGAAATAAACGATTTTGACTTTGACTATTTAGGAGTCAAGTCATTTTTATAATCTTCAATCAATACAATCAAAATTGAATTCAAAGTCATAATAAAATCTAAAATCAAGTACAACTTTAAATTAAGTAACCTTATAATTTATGGGCATAAGTATTTTATAATTAGTATTCAGGTAAAGAAATAGAGATTGATTCAGTACGGAGACAGTAACCAATGGTCACAGAAGATTTAAGTTTCATTCTAATGAAAGAAATAGGAAATGACTATGAATTTAAAGGTTAGTAAGGTGACTAATGTAACGAATTAAATTATAATATTTATAACCAAAAAATAGACCTCCTACAAAGACGAGTTTTTCTCATTTGATTAACAGGATTTAACTAAAATGTGTTCTTAGAACTGCTAATAACAAGATTTATAAAAGTTACTAATGAGAAATATAAGTTATATAGAACTGAAAACTAATAGTTTAAAATTCTACTATAAAACAAAGGCTGAATTAAAAATTTTATTCTCCCTAGACAATTTTTAAGTATATCTACTTATTTAATTATCCAAAAAGGTTTTAAGTAAACTTTTTATAAGTTTTATCTCGAGTCACATGAACAGTTGTTGTCTAAAATCATTATTCATAGACAATGACAAATGAACATCATATTTACGCCGGAACAACTTAAATTGGACTTTTTATCAATGAAATACATAATAAAGATATTTTTTAGTACATTTAGAATGATCAGGACGTTCTTTCATACCCATATCAGCCGTATTTAACGAGAAATTATAATAAAATCCACCAGAACTTAATTTTTTTTGAAAAGATAACCCTCGAGATTTGATACCACTTTTTCACAGTAAAATACACAGAAAACACACGAAATATCTATGCAGTCGTATAATTTATATCACACTTTATAAGATATCGCTAATTAAAACACGAAATAATCAAGGATTGTATTAAAAAAATTAAATTAAATTACCATTTTGACTAAGATTTCCCACAAACAAAAATTGAATGACTTTGACAGCTGATTCACAGAGTTGTCATACTTCGCAAAATCGAGATTCTCCTCAAAACTGGCAAATAAATTACAAAAATAATTACTCAATTTGTATAATTTATTTACTACTTCTGAGTTGGTTTTGAATTTTGCAAATACCAGCAGTAAAATCTCTAAATTATTTGATACATAACATACTGAATAATAACAGAGTCTAGAAATTAGTGGAGATTTTTAACCTTCATGAGGGGATTACAAGTTTAGGTGTAGTAACTAAACGTTATTCTGATTGGCTGTTGGAGAGAAATGGAACGGTTTCCTTAGAGATGTACTAAACTTAACATATCGATTAGTAAATTTTACAAAGTTAAAATAATTAATCGATTTGCATCTGGAAACTTACATTATTTTTTTCTACGACTCGTATCTCTAATGGTTATAATCGTATATTTGATAAATTGAAATAATGGTTGATATTGCAAGAATAAAGTAACTGAGGCAATTGTGATCATAATGCGAAAAGTTTTCGATGTACTTTTTTTGTTGAATTATCTTAAAACGCCTCCTCTCGTCCTGGGGACGTGGAATCCCTTCCACTCACTGGCACTCCCGTGCCAGATCGTTGCTGACTAAAAATCACCTGGTTCCATATCCTACTCCAACTTAATAACTACTTAGGTACTTTGTTGGACAACACCACATTCCGCGCTGCAATTTGTTTAAGGCTTGGGGCTTCATTTTGTTCACCTCATAGTTGTCGTTGTGGTGAAGATGTCAACAGAATTGGACACCACGGCTTGTCGTGTAGCCGTAGTGCGGGTCGTTTTAATGACATAATTCGTCGAGTTCTTGTCTCCGTTGGTGTGCCAGCTACTTTAGAACCTAATGGCTTGCTGCGCAACGATGGCAAGAGACCCGATGGTTTGTCATTATCTTGGAAGATGCGTACGCCTTTAGTATGGGACGCCACTTGCGTTGATACTCTGGCGCCATCTCAAACTCAGCGTGTCGAGCCGGTGCTGCCGCTGCTGCTGCCGAGAATCTCAAACGGCGAAAGTATGATAGCCTGATTGGTAATTATGCTTTCGAACCGTTTGGGGTTGAAACTTTATGGCCGTGGGGCCCAAGTGCACATCTTCTTTACAAAGATATTGTAAGGAGGATGGTTGACACTTCAGGTGATCGAAGAGCTGGCTTCTACCTTGGACAAAGGTTAAGCATTGCCATTAAACGTGGCAATAATGCCAGTCTTTTGGCTAAAGGCAAAAGACTATCGTCATCGCTAGATGATGATAATATTTTTTTGATGCCTTATTATAGCTTTTCTATTATTATTATTTTATTTAAGATGTAAATATTTTAGTTCATAGTTATTTATATTTGAAGTTGTATATATTTTCTTTTAGTAATAGTTAATATTAATTTTATTTATTAAGGTTTAGTGAATAATTTTATCAGTACTAATCATAGTTATTTTTTGCGTTTTAGTCTTAAATAAATAAAAAATAAATAAAATAAAATAAATTTATTTCAGACATATTGGGTCCATACATTTACAGTTTATTATTATTCAATATACCTATATATTCTTAATTAATTTAATTTATTACATTATAACACCGCATTATCAATCATTCAATTTAGTATATTGTCAATTTAATTAATGTCAATTTAGGTAAAAAATATCATCACATCCAACAAATATAAAGAAGAAATGAAAAAAGGCCAAATTATTTAAAAAATTTTAACAATAGAATTAACTTAAGTATTTGCCTCCGTTTGAGGCACCGGTCACGCACACTTGAGTTTGAACCCAGTGCCTCATAAGGGGGCTATCCAGTTTTTGGCTGAGCTCGCTCAAGATGGTGTTGGCGCTCCCACGCGTACGGAACATCAGCGAGGCGATGCGGCGCCGTAGCACCGCGTGAAAGCCGTCAGTGTGCGCGTGCGCAAACATCGCAGACGCACTACAGCAGTGCGGGAGCCCCACCAGCACCCTGAACGCGTTATTATATTGTACACGGAGAGCGTTGATGGCCCGCTGCGTGTAGCTGACCCACAGATTGCAGGTGTAGAGAGTTTGGCAGAATGCTTTAAACAACGTGATCTTTACCCCAAGACTACACCCCGCAAATCTGCGTGCCAACATATTACAGCGGACCGCCATCGCCCTCCTCTCCCTTTCTATGTCCCTATCGTCTTTTAAATCCTCGGTAACCACATGGCCGAGGTATTTAAATTCCTTCACTCTTTGAAGAGCGACAGTGTTAAGCAGTACAGGTGCCACATCCCCCAGTTTACGACCTCTGGCCTGAAATACCATGAGCTCACTTTTCTGCTCATTGTATAGGAGACCGTGCACTCTCGCATACTTCTCACACACACCTATCAGCTTTCTGAGCGCGGCTACTGATGGGCTGAGCAACACTATATCGTCTGCGTAGCTTATACTATTGATACAGCGACCATCAATCGAGCATCCCACTCCGATGTTGCTCAGGTCAACAATCAGCCCGTTTACGTACAAGTTGAAGAGTGTAGGAGACGTCAACCCCCCCTGTCTCACTCCACACTCCAACCTGTACTCATCAGAAAGTTCATCAAGCCATTTGACCTGGTTAGTCTGGTGATCATACCAATATTTAAACATATTAATTATCTCGCCTGGCACACCTGAATTCTTCAATTTATGCCAGAGTATATCATACCTAACCAGGTCAAAAGCCCTGGAGAGATCAAGAAAGGCTGCATAAACAGGCGTGCTCCTGTCTGTGTAATACCTGACAGTCTGCTTGAGAGACATAACTGCGCATTCTGTCGAAAGTCCTGGTCTAAAACCGAACTGTGCGTCGTTTAATTTTAGATGTTTCTTAAGCTGTCTCTCAAGCAAGCCCTCAAGCACTTTAGCTGTGGTTGTAGCTAATGAGATTGGGCGGTAGTTGCTCTTGTCAGAATTATCTCCAGTCTTGTTTTTACTTATAGGCACTACCACCGTCTTCATCAGCTCATTTGGCAGATAGGAATGCCTAATACAGAGCGTGAATAACAGACCCAGGAGCCTCGGGAGGTGTGACCCCGCATGCTGAAAATGTTCGATGCTGATACCGTCGTGACCGGGTGATTTCCCTCGAGTCATGCCCTTTATTATTAGAGTAAAAGTTCATGTTATTATATTTTTGTTCTATCATACAATTTGCAAGGACTGATTAAGAAGTAATCTTTTATGAAATTATTTTTGTCCTAACAACCCAATGGCAATAATAAGTTACGTACAACTGACGATCGATTGTACATGCAATGTGAATCGATTGAAAAATGACTGATCACTTGGACATCTCTAAAACGAAACGTCATAACGTCAAACAAATTCAGTTTTATGAAACTTCGGCTACGCATGTGACGTAGAGAATTTATTTAAAAAGAAATACGAAGAAATACTACTGAAATACTTTCTGGCTTTTCAATAAAGTACCGAAAATGAGCCGGCAAGTGGATATAAAGGCGTTAGTGTCTCATATAGTGCGTGGAGATGGCTCAGATAGATGCCGAATATGTATGGGAGACACAAGCGAGGGCCAAGTTCATTTAGAAGACACTGTAATGATGGATGGAGACAAGCCTGTAACGCTTGCTGAGCTGCTGGAAGTCATCACAGGAGTACAGGTACATTATAAATACGTTTATTTTGCATAATACCGAGCGTAACATCATACGATTTGTTTATTTTCTGTGCAAAACGGAACGGCGTCTTCCCGCCGTGTTGATTTCAAAATGGCGCCGAGTGGCTGTGGCGATATACTATGAAATTATTTTTTATATATTTTAACATCTCGTTTGATGTTATTGTTTGATTATTTACTAGAAATAAGTTAACCAGTTATGTTTAATATAAGCTTACGCTGAAATATTGCATTCTTGAAGTAGAATATTAAAAAATAATTTCTCGTTTCGTTATACCGTTTACGAGGTTAGTTAGGTTATGACGTCACATAAATAAGAATTTGACATGACTAATTCATTTGATATAGGGGAAGACTACTTATTAATACAATAATTTGTATCGTTTACGTATTAGGAACGGTAAATCACCTATTCTTACTAAAACCTACGATAAATTATTCTTGATATCAATTTTTGACCATGACTATCTTTGTAAAACAACTTATACCAAAAAGTGTTCTTATTTGTATAAATATGACAATATTTAGTATTCTCATAACAAAATTATAAAAACATACAATCATTTAACAAAGTCACATTCCATTGAAATAAGATTTCATCTTCCGGAACACACTGCTGAACAAGCCTCTGCGCGCTTAGCGCTTAGTCCTCAAACTGGAATTTGTTTTTACTCGAATAAAAAGTCACCTATGTGTTATTGCAGACTATTATGTATCCCTTTGTCCAATTTTACATAGATCCAGTCAATAACTATTGTGTAAAAGAGTAACAAATATCCATAAATACTCAAAATTTTTACATTTATTATATGTAATAGAAATTAGAGTTGTTTATGCCATGGGTGGGCAGAATGGATTAACCCTTTGACTGTCCCGTCATTGTAGACACAATTAAAGAACAATAGGTTGCGGTCACCGGTGTCCTCGCGGTGTTTGACAGTTTAAACTTAGAGAGCTCCCTAGGTAAGCACCTCATAGGTGCCTGTAAATTGATGACAACTGCTCTAGGATTAGTTAGGCTTGCAGCACCCCTCTGTAAGCTAGCGTCCTGTCTAGTTTGCCTTAGTGACAATACTGCTTTGTGAGCAGGTCTCTCATTGGCTTACCACAAGTATCAATGGTGAGCCACCAATAGCACAATATTTTCATATACAGGCTTACATTATTACATTTTATTAGGTTTTAACTGCCTCGCAATTATTAGTTACTAGCTTTTACCCGCGGCTTCGCTCGCGTCACAAAAGGATAAAAAGTAGCCTATGTGACATATACCAATATACATAGCGCCATCTATACCAATAC